TGTGTGTGTGTGTGTGATCCAGATGTGTAAGCAGCTCTGCCGGCCCTTCTGTCCGGTGTGTGGACGTCACTTCCGGACTCCCAGGAAGTTTGTGGAGCACATGAAGTCATCGGAACACAAACAGCAGGTGAGTGAGGGCGTCGGCGGTCAGGTGACAGCAGGGAGCCAATGGCTGTGGCTGTCAGGTGGTCTCGCAGACGTTGGTGGTGACGTGTATCCTGAGTCTGTGTTCACTAAAAACACGACTGTTCGCGTGACCGTCAACGGCGGGATCGACTCTGCGGGGCGCTGCTCAGCAGGATGTCCCGCCCCTCTGTGGGACGGCTGATGTTTCCCGTTTCCTCCCAGGTGCTCCTGCAGGAGGCTCAGGAGGAGGAGCTCATCACCGTGGATGCTGTCGGCTGCTTCGAGGAGGAGGGGGAGGAAGAGGAGGAGGGGGCGGTGGTGGAGGAAGAAGTGGACGTAGCTGACGAGGAAGAGGATGCAGCAACAAAGGAAGAGGTAAAATCAGGACGTCCTGTGGCGTCGAGTGAAATCACGATTCAGGAGTGACGACTTTAAACTGTTTCAGGTGGCTGAGGAAGAGGAGGACAAGCGGCGAGCAGAGTACGACCCCAGCACGGCGTGCGGTACGTCCCGGAGGTCGTAACCAGCTGATGCAGCTTTGTCGCCCCCTGGTGGACGATCTGTAGAGAGAAAATCCAGAAGGCGTAGATCAGAGTGTGGATTTTGTCTCGTCGTGTCCCTGCGACAAACAGGAAGTGACGCTTTACTCTCTGTCCCCACAGGAAGCAGTTTTGTGGTTCCTGTTTGTGGCTTCATGTGTCGACTCTGCAAAAAGTTTTTCTACAGTGAAGCTGCAGCTCGACACACACACTGCAGGACACGCACACACTACCTCCACTTGCAGGTACATATCTGCTTTCTATTTAATGACTGTCTTCATGTAACAGGTGTGTCAGCGAAGCGTGCACACCTGTGGACAGTCACAGGTGAGCTGATGTCCCTGCAGCACAGACGCACCTGTGCAGCCCAGAGTGAAAGCTCAGAGCTCGATCTGAAGACCACACAGGAGGAGGGAACCTGACAGGTGACCTCACCTGTACCTGCAGGTTTCACTCTAATACTGACACACACACACACACAACCCCGTTCAGCTATGTTAGTGAGGACCTTCATTGACATAATGCTCCCCTAGCCCCATATTAAAAATGAGCCTGACCCTAACCTAACTGTAACCCTGACACTGAAACCACACTTTGAGCCTCAAAAATGCTTCAAA